CTTTTGTGACTGCGCCCAAGCCGGCGCCGACGAGTTGGGCCAGGGAGAATTATTGGGGTGTTAATGCTTTTAAATTTATTGCTTCTGAGGGAAAAGAAACGTTTGTGAGATATAGGATTGTTCCTGTTGAGGGTGTCGAGATTGCGAGTGAGGAGCAGAAAAAGAGTTTGGGGGATAATTATCTGACGGAAGAGATTGTAGCGAGGTTAGAGAAGGGAGCGGCGGAGTTTAAATTGGAGGTGCAGATTGCGGAAGAGGGAGATGTGACGGATGATGCAACTGTGCATTGGCCGGAAGAGAGGAAGGTTGTGGAGTTGGGACGCGTTAAGGTTGAGGGGTTGTTGGGAGAGAATGAGAAAGAGCAGAAACATATCATTTTTGATCCAGTACCCAGGGTAGAGGGTATAGATGTTAGTGGTGATCCTTTGGTAGATGTTAGGGCGGGAGTTTACTTGATCAGTGGAAAAGAGAGGAGAGCTGCATAAGAAATGGATGGGAGAGTAGTATGGAGAATGAGAACAAGATCTAGGAAATCAAGCATATGGGCGGTTTCAACTTTCGGTTCACTTGATAAGTTCGGTCACAATGCCGCCGTTTACTTTTTCACTTGAGCGCAAATACATGATTTCTGCAATATATCAGATTACTTCATGCAATTATATCTGCCGTGCAACGTAATTCTGACCATTCTCGTCCTTGCGATTCAACAATTTTCGTTTCCAGGCGCGAAGGAAATACAATAAACTCCCCAAAGATATACATTCATAACCTGCGTGACTTAAGTGCTCTTCCTCAACTCCTTCATATCATCTATTCCCGCCTCCTCAATCCCAACCCCCTTCTCAACAGCCGTCAATACAAACATCATTCTCGCCCAACCCTCCCCCTCCGTAGCATTTCTCCAAGCATGATTTGTCGCCCGCTGAACACACACATCACCCCGCTGCATAATTTTCTTCTCTCCCGAATCCAAAACCAACTCAATCGTTCCCTCCAACACAACTCCATAATCCAAACTCACTGTTTTATGCATTGGACATGTGTAACCAGGCGCAAAATCCACGAAGCGAACGACTGTTCCCGTGGAAATAGAGAGACCGGGAGGTGAAGAGAGGTCTGATTTGTAGGAAGCTATGTCGATGGGTGTAGTGGATGTAAAGTTTTGGGATGCGGGGGCATGAGAGAGGGAGGCTGGGAATTGATGCGTAGTGTATGCGAGGAAAAAGGCCATGTCATTGTTTTGGATCGGTTGCCAGACAGATTCTGGGGATATACTGGGTTCAAGAATAGCTTTGCCATTTGGATCGGTCGTCGTTATAAGACGTTGAAGATTTGGAAGACCATTTGGAAGGGGTCCTCGTTGTTCAGTCGACATTCTGATCTAGCTTGGGTGCTTAAAAGTTTTAATTATCGAAGGTATTCAGTTGCCTAAGCATTCGACTTCTATGTATTCTGGATGCTGTTGAGGTTCTAGGGAGATTCGATCGGAATTGATTGTTCCTCGCAAGTTCTCTGAGATTGCGTTGTGTTTTATTACCATGCTGTAAACTTAGTCGGATGTCCGAATAGCTAGCTCTCAATGCGGGGTAAAATGAGGGGTCAGAAATACGCCATGTGTATCTAGTAGGTAGCTCGCCCTTTCTTCATTCGGCAAAGCTTCGTCTGACGTGCATCGATAAGAATATGACTGATGTCGTTCACCATCAAGCTAAGACGACTTTTTACATTCTACTGCTCCACAATTCTGGATTCCACTGTATTTCAATGTTTTAATTTCTTCATTATACATGCCCAAGTATCAAGCTCGTTTTTACACATCTTCATTATTCACAGATTTTACCCGTCAACCGAGGCGCAAATAGCTTGGCACTCTCACAATTCAACTGAGTCGACATCGATCTTATATTCAAAGCTGTGGGTCAGTAGACCGTTATTGATTGGTAGTTCACACAATCCTCCCTCGGAAGCTAGCAAGTACATCTAGATCATACACGTCAGAGGAACTGAAAGCTCTTAGCGTTGAGTTTAGTCTCACTAGCCCTAAACGCACACATTAGAGACTGTTATATGATATAAACAGTGTACAGTGATTTTTAAATCCATAATCCATTGCACCTCCTCCGAAAATGGTATTGTTGGGTCGGCGAAGACAGATTTATTCTTGAACCTAGAGCTCCAGATTAGTAGATGAGAATAAATCGTATAGCTTTGTTAGAGAAATATCGACACTAAGCCCGTACGAAACTGGAACAAAACCTCTCGCTTGCTAAATCACCCCTATAGCACATTAGCATTGTTTCTATCGAGCCACATTTCATTACAGAGACTAGATAGCAATACAACTTAGAACGAATAAGCATCCTATTACAGCGTTAGTGATAGATATGCATCATATAGATATATTCAGTGGCTTATCTTGAATTGCATATAGAGAACTGAGCCTTACAGATTCAAAAAAAAAATTGAACAGCTTAGACTTTTCAAAGTTAAAACTGTACTAAAGTTCAACACTTGTAAAGTTTGAAAGCTAGAGGATTGTAATTGCCATTTTGAAGTTCTCAACCTTCCCGAGCGTCCCAAAATAGTCACCGAGCGTGATGTATGCGGACTGCCGTATTTCAGTCGTACAGAGAAAGACGAGAAATGGACGGAAAGTATGACCGAGTGACATTCGTCGTGCAAAGGAAGGTAACACTATTTTATGACAGAGGAGCAGGCTTTGATTTAGCGATGATTGATCGCAGCCATAACGCTACGATATCTTGTGGAGAGATAGGTAGTAAGTTTCTCATTGAATGTTCACAGCCAAATGTATCATAAGATCTCACACTGTAGCTGAAATACCACCCGTATTCAAATGATACTTGGTCTTGATTGTTGATTAGCAAAAACTTGCATCGCTCTAACTTACACGCTACCTATCGATTTCCAAATAATCTTCTATGGATGGAAATGAAAGAAATTGCAAAAATGAAACGGTTTAGAAATCATCAAATAAAAGAGATTGTCTATAATGATCGTGATAGATGCTCATCTGTGATTGCAAAATCGCAAAGACGACAAAATTCGCAGTCAAGCAGCATTTGGCAAATCGCGAGGAGATCAATGACTGATTTCACAACATCTAACTGCTGTAACTCAGCGGACCACTAGAGTTTCGAGCCACGCTGTTCATCTCTCTCTCTAAACGCTCGCTCGATCATTCTTTTCTTTCGCATCTCCACACCGGCTCGGGGCGAACGGCCATCTACATAACCCATGAAATCATGCGTAGAGAATCCCATCAATTTCAAGAGCCTCTCTGGAACCTTTTCTAAATCATCCCAGCCCATTGCAATTGTCATGTTTTCAAATGTCCGTATCCAGGGTTGACAATACTGAACTGTAATACTGCGACGAGCTTTGTTCGAGGTATTCGCTCCACCCGAATGCCAAAGAGTATTGAGAAAATAGACCATGCTGCCTGCTGGCATTATTACCGGAACCATCTCCTCTCGGGTTGGGATGCGATCGTCCGACCATAAATGTGACCCTGGAATTACAGTAGTTGCACCGTTGTCGGCAGTGAAATCATCGAATGAGACCATGGTGCCCTATTTAGGTTGTGAGCCTTTCTCTTCCGATCCATACAATACAGAAAGGAGCCTAAGTACAACATACAATACCGATCAGTGGCCTTGGTCTCGGCAGTGCGATCAATCCATCATCGCAATGTATAGCCTGCGCAGTTTGTCCAGGATAGATCACCACAGTATGCAGACTGGTAATTAAATAATTGGGTTGGAGGAAGTAATCGTTCAATGCCAAAACAGTGGGGTGTATTGGAAACTGGTCAAACGCTCGGGATTTGTCTGCAAGAGCATACACTCTTCCAGTCTTGAAACCCTCAAAATAGTTTCGACCAGCAATTGCAGCAGGCCCAGCGTCAAGAGTTTCAAGTCGTGCCACTTCGGAATTTGCTATATCTACTTGCTCTGGCGTAAATATGTTAGGGAGGATAACATAGCCGTGTTCGAGGACGTGGTCGATGAGATGTTGTACTGATGGATCCTTCTTTCCGGGCAAAAAGGTTGTCCCTTGTCCGAGTTGAATACGATCACTAATTCCTGTTGTGAATTTGACTATTGGCGGATTATTGTCAGACTACACGTGGATGACATTCATGTTAACAACGACTGGTAGATATCAAGGGATTTCATTAAAGGTTGCTCACCATTGTCATCCTTAAATCTCCGGTACTCTGGATTTAGCTTGCAGTGTAATGAGGTAGAAGAGGAAGCAACTTTCTTTGCATGATTAAGATGAGAATGGCTGGTATGTGTATGAAGAGTACAACCTCGGCCTCGTTAGTCTTGTGAACCTACCTAGATAGAAAACGAAGCCTTTCGGGAACACTGTAGTAGCACGAAGCTGATGATTGCCCTCATTGGAAAAATCTGGGGAAGCACAAGCCGGGTGAAATGAGGGGTAACCTACTTAGTCAGCTTTCGATCCTTACAGATAGATCCGCTTTTCCCGCTATTCCGCCCCTCGCTTGCTTCATCCTGCCCGATGTCACCTACGGTTTATTCATTCTTGATCTAATCGCCGCCTTTCCCATAGAGCACAACGACAGGAACCCCTAGAATGCGTTTTACTGAGTTTACTCCGGAGTATGTCTTGACTGGCTCGTGAGCAACTTCTAATAAGTGATTGTGTAAAGACTCGGCCCAATCTTAACGGAATCTTAACTCTAGAGAACTACATTCCGTAATTCTGTCGTGTAATAACTGTGAATCTCATTGTAGCAAAGTTCTTCTTGTGGACCGAGAAGCCAAATAGCGAAGTTGCTGTACTACACTGTACAAAAATTCTCCCTCCTAAAAGTGCAATGCTCAGTCTGCCAGGAACTCGTGCAATCTTCTAGCAAGCCTCATGGCCTCAATCACCCCTAAGAGTATCACCAGCTCACCAATTTTTACATACGTGTCTTTAGACCTCTAAAGATGATCTTCACCTTATTAACCTATCTTCTTATTCGCCTTCTTCTCATGCAACCTCTTCCTCTGCTTTTGCCTCTCCTCCATTTCCACATTAATATTGACATGCTTACTCATGAAGCGCCGATATAGATTCTCCATCTTCAATCCCTTCATTGGCTTCTTCCATCGTCCTGTAATCGGTGTCCTCAATTCATCTGTATCAATAGACAAACTTTCATGACCCCGAAGTACAAAAACTATCGAGTATCTATAATGTTTCCCAGCAGGCATCTCTTGTTTATCTTCATTCTCCTTTCCATGTGGCTCGTTTCTGGTCAAAGTTTTTGGATACATACGTACTGAGTGACCACCAGCCTGATATCTGTTATTGCTCAAGAAATTCAACTCTCTCCCCACGAGTAAAGTTCCTGTATCTCTCCCCTCAAACGACTGTTCGATTGGGAACGTCTTTTTGGTTTGCATGTCCAAAACTTCCAGACCAGGTACATCGCTAATTGATAGGCTCAAGAGACCAAGGTCACGATGTGCTAACACAATTAGCCTTTTAATGCTTATGTTTCGAACGAGATAATGATGACATACGTTCCGAAACGACCTTCCCCTCTATTCCATCACTTTCGTACCTGAACAATCTGATCATAGTTGCTGTCTTCTGATGATGGAGCTTGAGACATGGCTCAGAATACCGTGTGAGCAACTCTTTCCTCATGCCCAAGCTACTAGCAATTTCTTCCAATATCTTGTTTAAAACATCCCCAGTAATATCCCAGAATTCTTTCACGGTATCCAACAATTCGGGAGGTATAGTGTTGATCTCACGTAGGGTGATGAATTCCTTCTCGCCTTCCACACGATTCCATCCTTCCTCAGTACCCTTCCCAGTAAGAAACTGAGATTTATACTCAAGCGGAAGATCAAAGAAGGATTTACTTGCTTGCAGAAGCTTCTGAGATGAAATGTGGATGGGGTCCGTGTGCGAGAAAGACAAGGTTGACCACCCTTGATCCGGAAAATGGGGTGCATGAGCAGGAAGAATAAAAGGGAATTTGACAGGTCGAAGAGGTATTTCATAGATTTCATTCGATGATTGAATAGCGGAGATGTGGTTGTCTGTCATACCGGCAGTTTGATCTGCTCTCTTTTGCTTGGCTTGCTTGCTGTGGAATTTCAAGCTTTTTGATTGCCGTTGGCTGTGTTAACTGTTGGGATTGTGGCGTCATATATCATATCTTATCATCTCCATCCATAAGGAGGAAAGTTTGTTGATCTCAATTGAAATGAATTTCAAAAATGTAATGATTTCCTGGTGTTGCTCTTATCTTGGTGTTTGTGGTGATAATTAATTGAGGCCATAGATGGTTCTGTGAGGTCATCGCTCGTCACCGGCTAAGGTTAAATAGGTTAAATCTAGGTTCTTGCCGTCTTAAGGTTAATAAGTTCTAGGCTTTTCTTTCTGAACTTTCGACTTTCAGATTGTTCTTTCCTTCAAAGAACCGCTCAAGACATGATACGTGAATCAAAATTCTCCAAACCCATTCTCGATAGTTCTCATTTCTATGCATTTCAAGATTATCTGAAACGGATTTCATTGATCTTCTTAGACTTGGTGGTGGTGATGGGTGCGCCATGTCTTCGATCAAAACAATTCCTTTATTTGCAATTCAGTTATGTTTCAATACAACAAAGTAATTCTGGACAAGCATAAGCACGAGTGTGCAACATATTCATCATTGAAGTCATGATATCGCACTCGCTATTGAATTGATTCACCTTGTTGGGTGTCAATCATGACTGATGAGGTATAAGAAGGGCCACAACATCTTCTCAAAGTCACAATTCGAATTCGCAATCGTCTTATAAAAGTTTCCCAACTTGTTATCATTAATTCTATAAAGCTTTTCAAGGAATTCTATCCTTCAATTCGTGCAGGCTTTTTCTCTGCCGTCGGAATGTCTTTACGCGCACAAGATATCCACGTAGGTTGTATCCTTCGCCCTCGCAATGATATTGAAAAGAAATACCCAGGAATTAGATGCGAATGGAATGAATTATCTGATCACCGAGACGTGAACCCAGCTCTGGGATGTCCATCGTATTGCCGCCAGGATATTGCAGGCCAAAAACATCCCATTATTGTCCTCCGCAAAAATGGTGACAGTATTCTTTATGTCGCAGTTGGTAACCCTTAATCTCTCAATAATCTTCTGTTGTTTATTGATTCTTACTAGATGACTGGCAACCCAATCCCTCATGATCAAGTGGGGACACAGTACTCCCCTATCGGTCACTACTTTCCTCCTGGTAGTGGGATACCACATCCTGCAAGATTTCGATCCCGTTATTGGCTTAAAAATCCCAATCCTTGGAATGAGAGAACGATCGATGCAGCCCGTCAGAGCCCTCGTCGTAGACTCATAGAATTGGAAAAACACTCCAAGCTACGCTTGCCCCATGTTTATGTTCAGAAAGCAAATAGATTCAAAGCCTTTGGAGGTCATAACACGTCAGCTTCAGAATACAGGTTGGACGAGGGATCTTATTATAGACTTATGGATAGATTAGGGCTACATGCTAGCAATTACAATTCTGATATGTCCCCAAGGACATTACATAGACCCCATTCAACAGTATCGATTTCAACTTCGCTGTCATCTCGAGCGTCAGCTTCGTCAACACAGCAAAATCAATCTGCTCTTAATTTCTCTCTTGGACGTTTGCGAAATGGCCCATCGCAACGCGAGCGATACCAAAATACTAGGAATGAGAATTGTAAGTCAATGCTCCCCATCAACCCCATAAAGTTTCGAATGCGTCCGGCATTAATTCCGTATTTCTAGATGAATCACCGAGCAATAACTTGCCCAACTGGCTGGCAACACTTCGCAATTGGATTCGTCTATACAGCGAACAATGTAGAAACATGAAGATGTGGAAAAGTTGCAAAATTCAGGAGATTTCGAATCCTGTCGCAGAAGACTTGCCATCTCCTGAAGCCGATTTGAACGAACTTCCTCTTCCCTATACCATCACACTTCAGTGCACCGTATGATATAACACATAGTTTCATATCTGTCGAATAGTCATCAGCCTTCATTAGCACAGTCGTTACACTGAATATTTCTTAATCGTTTTGTTCCTCATGTATTTTTCCTTTTGCATTCGTTTTAGTGTGCGCAATAGATCAGAATTTCGGCGTTGGATGTTGGATGTTGGAAGCGGTTATCAGATTAAATTGCAGTACAATCTCAAGATTATTTACCGTGCCATTTGCATTGCTCCTTGGAGCAGTTTGAAATGTAAACCTTTCAAATGACTTTACCTGATTACCACAAATTGCTCTTGGCTATTCGCAAGCGACAAGTACTGGTCTTTCATACATTCAATCGAATCCAGAACGTTTATCCTAATCCCAATGAATCCACCCTGCATGGAAGTACTTTCTTTATTCTGGTTGCAAAAGCTCCACGGTTCGTCGCTCTCATTCGTCTTCAAAAGCCATATAACACGTAAATACATTAGATGATAATTAAGTGACCACTCATCTTCACGCCATGTTCGTGTACATATCATTCATCTGGTCTAAAATGGTATTTAATTTATATCATCTGAATTTTCTGATAGACTCGATCGCAATTCCGGTTGAATCATCTCAATGTAATTATTAGGTTGGTTTATAACAACAAAGCTTGTCTATATCAGACTATTATCCTCCTAAGCGCAATATCAGCCAAATAAAGGGGAAAGATCTAGTTTATGGTACGTCAGCTAAACAAGAATGCCTACCGACTCTACAGAACAGCAAAACAAATAATCACTATCAAAATCACACCAAGGGACTCAATAGAAACCTTCATAGAAGAAACAATAAACCACGCTTGTAAACCTAACACCCTCTATAGCTTAGCAGATTTCAGACCATCTCACCCATCCAACCGCGTTTTCCCAGCGCCAACTTCCCCGTCATCATATCTCCCGATCCCCCAAAACCCCCTGAAACCCCAACTTCAACTCCCTTCAAACAAGATTCCCCAGCATAACCCCATCACCATCCCTCAATCCCTCCTCAAACTCCAACCTATCTTCTTCTCCTATCTCTACCACCTCTTAGACCATTACCACGTCCCCTATCGCCTCCACTCCCATCCCATCTACTATCCCATCCATTCACAACCATACCCCCATTTCCCAATCCCATTCCTCCTGCATTCACATTTCCAATCGCAGGAAACCCAAATGGAACCGGTAGACATGGTAGTTGCATTGGCGGTCCATAAGCCGGTCTATGACCACGGAGATTTGGCGTAGGAAATCGTGCACCTCTTGTGCGAGGAACGTAGGGCCCGAGTCGAGATAAGAGAGGGATGTAGGGAGATGTACGTCCTGGGTGAGGAATGTGGGGAGCGTGTGGACCGAATATACCGCCGACAAGAGGTTGGATGTGGTTCATTGGGTTGTGGGGGGGTGGATGATGTGCTTGAGGATGATGAAAGGGATGAACATAATTGACAGGAGTTTGTTGATGCTGAATCTGCGCTTGACCATTCATATGGTTGCTTGGAATATGCGGATGTTGAACTTGAGCCTGAGCTTGCATTCCCGATGCATTCACATGCTGAGAAGCTCCACCTCCATTCCCGTTCCCATTTCCACCTCCATGAGTCTGATTCCGACCCTGACTTACCCCCCTCACAGCACTCTGTCCCGAAGCCGCTCTCGCACTCCCACCATGTCCCGTCCTACCTCCCGAACTCGCCACAGCCCCTCCACTAGCATTAGCATTCTGTACACTTCCCAATCGTGTTCCTCCCGTAGCTCCTATACCTGCAGATCCATGAAGCACACCTTGACCTTGACCCAACGGAATCGGGATCGTGCGATTGCCACTCTGAACTGCGTATGCGGGCTGCGTGGGAGCATTGTAGAGATTGTGCGAGGGGGGTGGGTTATGGATTGTCATTTTGATTTCCTGATGTAACTTCCCAAAGACTGACGGTTTGCAATTGACGGATTATCAAGAAGATTCTCCGAATATGAAGGAGAATTGAAATTATCAAGAGGAGGAGATTAGGAGGTCTTTTATACCTCCATCTCCCTACCTTGTAGTAGTCTCGGTACGATATGAGACTATGTGATTAGGGAAAGAGTATTCGTGATTAGGAATTACATGTAATACCGTGATGTGGTGAATACAGCCCCGTACTAAGCTTGGAATACATCGATTCATGTTCTTGATATTGTGGTTCTTATTCATATGCAGGGTGCTGTGTATATAATACGGCTATACATAGCATCTACACTTCGTCATAACCTAGGGCTAGCACTCCAACCTCTCTGGACAAGTGATTGTAATATCAAATCCTTATCGAGCTGCTGTAACTTCACTTGAATCCTCGTGAATGTTCTAATCCAAATAATTTAGTACCAGAACCAACTAGATTTACATACCCATTCATGCCGCCCTCCCTTTCTCCAATGCATACCCCAAGCGAATTTCACCTGCTATAAATCCACATTCAACTCATCCATCTCCCATCATCCATCATCCATTACACCCTCACCCCTCTTTCCACACCACCAAAAACAACAAACACAAAAACACAACCCCAAATAAAAAGCTCAGATACTCCCATCATCTCAATAACCAACAAAGAAACAAAAAAGAGCTACCCAATAACACTCCACCCCCTGATTAAACGAGATCCGCCCCTTCACCTCCCATTCAACTCCAAGTAATTCATCCTCTTCTTCCTCTCCTGAAAAAGAACATTCAGCCCATATACCTCTCTCCTCCAATCAAGAGATAATCATAAAATAAACATGAACATTGGCTATTACTATCCCACCCATCACAACACCTCTCCCAGCAAATCACCCTCACCATCACATCCCTCCCCCTCCCCCCATCCAAATTCTCAAATATTCAATCCACTCCACATCACAATCTCATTCTCTAACAAGCTAAATAGCGAGTCACACGAACTGTAGATTATCTACCATGGATTCACAGTACGCCATTCTATTCGATTTCACCCCCCCTCTATTCATGTCCATCTAGTAGTAATCAGCTTGATCATTTCCCCTCTCCCGAACATTCTCATGCACCGGCTATTGTATTGTGTGTTGGTATAATGCAGCACAAAAGAGCGGATCTACTTGTTCGAAGGAAGGGGGCTTTGAGTGATATTTATTACACATATTCTTGGCAAAGAAGTGAAGTTTGCTTTTCATTCTGATGTGTATGTGTATGTGTATTCATGAGAAATATCGAATCTCGCTTTCAATCCGTGCATAAGTATGTATGTATAAACCTTCAAGATTTTAATACATCTCCAATCCCACCTCTCATATCCCTATCCCTAGCCCTGACCCTATCCCTCATACGCCAATCCTTCCAAAAGCGCCAACCAAACTCCAGACCAATACCAATTAAATAAGTTCCTCATCCGTTCTCATTCTCATCATCATCACCTGTCCTTCCCTCAACACAGTACCACAGCCCTCTAACCAAATTTCCTCGTTCCTCCCTTCTCGCCTCCATGGATTGTAGTCCCCGCATTTCCCTTCCCTTTGGTCTCTCCAGCATTCTTCCCATCCTTTCCCTTACTCTTCTTTCCTACTCCCAACAATTCCAGATGACCTGCTTTCGCACCGAGTGTCTTTTCCGTCATGGCTGTAAGACCTGCTGAATGTTTCTATGTATGGAAATTCAATTAGCTGAGATTCTTTTGACACATCTTATAAGATATGTTTCTCTCTTTTTCCCAATCTTTGTTGCATCTTTGAAGCAACAATCATTAGTGTAGAAATCAGACAGGTACTTAAACTCGTCAAAGAAGTCTCAACTCTTTCGAGGAGACCACTAGGAAAGCCATGCATATGTAAGTGAGTCATCATATTTCTCCTCTTCCCCCCTCTGTCTTCTCTTCCCTTCTCCCCTCCTTTTCCCAACACAACCAAAGAACAATAAATACCAACAAAGAAGACAACTAACCTTTCTCAAAACTTCACTCCTCCTTAATCCATCCTTCTTCGCCTTAATAACCCTCTGTCCCTTCTTCGGTCCCAACGCCGCCTTTTTCCCCGCCCCATTCGCTCGGTTCCCGCCCGCCAATGCGCTTTTCGTCGATTTAAGTGCGCCTTGAACCATTTTGACTCTATTTCTTCCTCTCTGGTATATTCAACTCTTCGAGAGATCAGCCGGTGTGACGGACTGGGTGCGCCTCGATGTAGTATCAATGATGCTCTATTTCGATGAATTCGTTGATTCTGACCCGAGGAATTGATTTCGTTTCTCAGAATATAAGTATACTATCAATTGACTATCAATGCTTCATCCAATAAAATGAGCACAGTAATATGTAAGATTGTGTATGTGCAGTCAAGCTTCTTTGAATGTGAGGTTCAAAGTTTTATGTTGTTCATTTTCTCGAGCTCAGCTTTTCCGAAATAAATTTTAAAGAGGTGGAGAAACTATTTCGCGGAATGCGGCCGCTAGCTCTCATGGGCATGAGTGTTGTTAATTTTTCGCTTCAGATCTCATGACATTCACATTTCAAGCCTCAGTTTGATCAATAATTTTTGTATATTATATATATTCATTCCATTTCATAATCTAAGAGTTTTGATTTTGAGTCATACCATTTGCACATGCATCTCTTATCACGTAGCTCATTCAAACCTCTTCCAACCACAACTCGTTCGCTTTACCCCTCCATAGATTTTGATACCACGCCTGACTAATATCACCTAGCTCCAGCCAACATGTAAAGACACCACCTCCATTTTTTATTCATAGCTGAACCTACCATAAAAGCTAACAGATTCCTGAGTTCAAGAGATGCTTTCATCGTTAAAGTAGAAGTAAAACAAAAGCAGACTATGAGCTTGAGCATAGATAGAAGAACTTGACTCAGGAGGTATCAAGTTGTAAAACAATGGAGTAAATCTTTTTCATCAGCCATCCAATCAAGGAAATTCGTCCTAAAGTATCCATAATCCATAACTTTATCCATTCAATTGCCAATCAACTCATGAGAAAGAGATAATAGACGAAACATCCAAGCCTGCTTGATGCGACATCATTAAAAAAGAAGATGGAAAGGAAACACATTGCAAAGAAGACAAAAACGCAGCAGATACAGAATAGTACATGTAGAAAAGCAAAAGCAAAAGTAAAAGCTGGCAAAAAAAAAACGTCAAATCTTTCCTTCATAATACATGTGTTGGTCGTAGCTTTGTTGCTCTCATCCATATGTGGTGATAATCCCATATTGTCCAAGAAATCGTCCAGATGCGCCGGTATTTTCTTTCACCCAATTCTATCAAGTCATTCATTCGTTAATTCCACCGGGTATATCCATCCTCATACTGCATCGACCACTTCTCTGCCTTTTCAAATCACATTTCGCGACTCTGTGCTTCGTGATTCCAAGACTTCATCAACCCCGTTTCTCAATCCCCGGGGTCCACTGATAGTGGCTCGCAACTTTGCATTTCTCTGCTCTCTTCTTCTTTCACTGAGTTTTTTCCCGAGTCCTTTTAAACCCACATATTCAATCCTTAAACCTAATCCAGGAATTGTGTGAATACGACCACCATTTCCCTCTTTGAAGCCATGACCGAACTCTCCAGGCTTTGCTTCTCGAAGAACTCTTTGGTCTGCCTCTCGTCTTAATGTGTTATTACTTCTTTGCTTTACAACTCTTAAAGCATTGCCACTAGGAGACCTTCGCATTGTTTTTCGATCCAACGGGGCTTGATTGTAATCCTCATTACCATAAGATAACGGAAGAATCGCAAATGTACGTTTTAATTTCCCACTAAGGCCACGTTTTGGTATCACACGTCTATTTCCCGGGCTGTGATACTCAGGAAAATAATCTTCCTCGTCACCTGAATCGTTCTCATTGTCTTCTAGATCGTCCCAGAAATTGGCTGGTCTCCAAAATGGGTGTAACTTGCTATCATCAGCGGGCTGATCGAGAACTGATGGATAATGTGTGGAAGGATTTGCCTCTGGTTTCGAGGTTTGAGTTGAAATGTCCTTGCGACGACCACTCAGTGAGAAAGTGCGTTTTATCAAACCAGTTTCTGGTATTACAACATCTGAATAACGTCGATTGGTAAAAGCACGACGAAGAGAGAAGTTACGTTTGAATTTGTCTGACGATGATGGTCGATCGTCGTCATCTTCGTCCATTCGAGTATCGAAGTCAAACCCTAATTGTCGTTCTTCTGCTGCTCCAGGCGACATATCAGATGGAGTTGGAGGAATGAATTTGATCGCCGGTGGTTCAGGCGGGGCACGAGGATTTCGCAATGGTGAGACAACTCCATCCATTGTATGTAGATTTTGCGGGGGAGTTGTAGGACCGTTATTAGCTTCACCATTCACCTCAACAGTTGGCTGTGTGATCAATCGTCTCAAAGTGGGAGGTGATGGCTCGGATTCCCTGTGAATCATTGTCCATGACTTGTTTTGATGTGGAACCATCGACACTGCCATAGCCTGCGAGATTTCAGCGGTTGTTGCTGCAGTACCTGCTGTTTCGTATGACGCTTGTGAAAATGGTGTAGCTTGTGTGGATCGCCGTGCATGAAATTGTCGTTCGTCAGGATGATCAATACTAAGTCGATTATGATCTATGCTTGAACGAGCATGCTGTGGCTCAATCTCTTTCTCCGAGACAATATTTTTTGATGCTTCCGCTAGATCTATCTTTAAGGAATGCTTCTCTTGAATCATATTGTGAGCTTTGAGGCTCTCTGCAGTTAGTGAACCAGCCCTCGAAGTGTTTCGGCTGGTTGGAGCGGAAAGTGAAGACCTTCGAGTTGGGATACTTGGAGGATAGTCGATAGTATGTACAGAATTGCTCGATCCTGCAGATTCTGACATGGTACGTTTATTGGTAGGTCGCATGATATCAAAATATCCGGGCTCATTTGTTCTCGAGGATTGTGACAAGGGAGCCGACTGTAGGGAATTACTCCTTTTAGTTTGTCGACTACTTGTTGAACGTAGAGATGGAGGTTTAGAGGACTTTGCCGAAGACATGCGATCTGGAATGACCACAACGGGTACTCCACCCTCGCGTATGATCTTTCTGCGCGATTTGTGACTCGAAGCGATGCTTGGGGTAGTATTTGATGCCAAACTCCCATTGTGTCTTTCAGGTATTCGTTCGGCTTTGTGCAATAATCGATGATGTTGTTCACTCGATTTCTCAGATGGTGTTGTGGAGCTTATGGTCGATTCGGTTGAACTGAAATCCCTCAATCCAATCTGCTTTTTGGTATGGCGGAGGGTTCTCATACGCGAGGGAGGTACATCAACGACAAACGCTTCAACGACTGTAGATGTGGTTGAGTGACCAGACATGGTAGAAAATCGTCTTGTATCTGATAATGCTGGAGAATCTGTAGTTTCTTTTCGTACTCTAGGCCATGTGCCACCTTTTGACGTGGGTTCCACCCTATCTTTCTCCAGCCGGTGGCTTTCGAAATCCTCCTGTGAAGGTAATCTTCGAACAATTTTCGTGGCTTCTATCGGTGAAATCAAATTATCTTCCCCTACTTCGCCGTTTGCACCTTCTTCGTCAAAGCTCGTATTCCTATCTTTGCGCTTCCTGACTACTACATTCCTCATGAGATTATCATCCCATTCCCGTTCCACCTCGCTTATTTCTCCTTGAGAGGTACCCCATTCTCCATCAAAACCGCTAAATTCCTGCTGTGATAGTGATATTTCCTTAGCCTTTGGTGTTGCAGAACCCTCGTTATCGGATTCTAGACCCAAGCCCAGCCCGATTTCTTTACGAGGAATTTGTAATACTTCTGCCTCGGATGGGTTTGCAGAGGGAATTCGTGGTCGAACTGTGGATGTTTCATCCTCGTCTGACGAATATAAAATTTCCCGCGCTGTTCGGAAGGAATCTGTTCGCGAAGAGGGATAACGCGAGCTTGCTAATGCTGGGCGGAATGCCAATGGTGGCATTGCGCGTGGAGGTGTGACATCGGGAGTGGGTGGACTTTTTTGAATGGTTGGCGTGGTCGGTTTGGATTCTACACTGGAATCTTTCACAGACTGGACCTCGGAACTCGGCGCGGGTATAACAAGAATACTGCTGGTGCCAGATGATTGTCGCGAATGCGCTGGTGGAGTTGGCGGAAGTAGGGGAGCGCCAATCCTTTTCGAAGTGTGCTTCAACATACGCGGATTTGGATTTTCGGAATTTTGTGACGGCGTTGATTCTGCTTCTGCACTTCTATCGCGAGATTTGAATGTTTGTGATTGAGACGACAAATCGGAAGGACGGACTTCTCTTGGATGAGGTAAGATTTTATGCCTTTTTAATAAAGTTGTTCCAACACTTTGAGCGCTATTTGAAGCTTCAGAAGAGCTTCCCAGCTCCCGGGACGGCATCCTGAGCCAGTTCGTCGTCTGTGTGATGAGCATAAAGTTGAATAAAAATGGGGCCTCTTAAAAAAGAAAATACTTTTGGGAAAACCCCGTGTTAATTTTCGAGTTTGTTCTTATTTCAGTAGATTATTGTTCTCAAAACGAGAAGTGCGGTAAGTTGCATAAAGATAGTCCTCGTGGTATCGGCTTCGTGCAGAATCGCAAGTTGGCAGAAGGCATAAATTATTAGGCTGGGTGGTGAGGGATGGGAATGGTGGTAGTGGTTGTTGTGGTTGCTGTAGTGGTGGGTGGTGGGTGGTGGTGGTGAATTATTGTGGTACACTTGGTCAAAAATGCGAAAAATGGCTGATTGAATGGAGAAAAAAAGGAAATTCGTAAAATCGTGTCGATCCAGTCTCGACTGAAGAGGATCAAAAGATGTGTAGCTTTTTATTGGATATTGGTGATACACTTTGGGAGGAAGATTCGAATCAGCATAGATTGCAGGTTGCAAGTTGCGATTATGGGTTGCAGATGGTGCCCCACGAAGCCCTCTCTGATGGGAACAGCAAGCTCTCAATTCTCGAATCCAATGAAAACATTCAAACCCTCTGAGATGCTGAGGGCATTTGGGACTGATGGAAGTGAATATGTAATGGATTCGAGGGTAACAGTGTAATGTCGAAAAAGAAAAAGGAATGGAGTGGAGCGGAGTGGATAGCTGCGTGTGTGTTTAGGTACAGAAAAGTAAACGTTCGAATTGAATCAATGACAGATGGCAATGCGAGGAGCCTAACAAGAAGAGGAAAAGAAGCAGTAATCGAAACAGTCAACGTTGTCCAGTTCTAGATGGATGAATGGAGAAGTGGAGACGCGAAGTTGTGAGATATCATTCGTCAACTTTCTCCTGTTCCCAAGTTTTCTTATGTCGCCGTGTTATTGATTACTCCGTAGAAGTGTGAGTACTAGGTAGGTATCTAGATTCTAGAGTACGACTACCCAACACCCAGCA